AGGCGGCCCAGAACCCGGGGAGCGGGACACCTCTGCGGAGCGGGGGACCCCGGAGTGCTGAAAGGGCCTAAGCTTGCTGGGCACAGGACGAACTGCACTCCAGGAAGAGAGATTCCATGAAGAGGCTGGAGGCGTGAAAACACGGAGCGTTGCAATAACCTGGAGGGGGTTCAGCCGTGGAACGTGGACGAGAGGAAATTTAACGGGGTTTGGGACATTCAGTATTTCCCACAGGCAAACCCTGCCGGTGGCACAGGACCAACAGTGTGGTTAGAACAGGTTTGCCAGAGAAAACAGAACCAGCAGGTGCAACATGTGTCTTCCAGGGCAAGAAAAAAAGTAGAGTAAATAAGAGAACTACTGAAGTTAGAACACCAACCCAGCAAGAGTGAAGGTGAGACTCGCACGGCACAAAGGCAGTGTGAGATGACTGCGGCTTCCAAAAGCCGCCTGGGTGGTTAGCGCGGCCGCTTCGTTCAGCAGGAGACCAACGTGGCATTGTGGGAGGAGGGCAGCGGGGAGGGCGAGCCAGCAGGTGCGGTGGGGACGCGGAGGGCAGCTCTTCAGAAGGTGGGATCCACAGGCTGCGGCTGCTGGGGAGAGGGCACACGCGAGGATGCCCTGGGGTCTGGCTGGAAGGCTGGGCAGGAGACGGGCATTTCCCAGGACAGAGAACACGGAGGAGTGGAGGGTGGCGTCCACGCTCACCATGAGCAGGAACACGCCCCCCCTCCCTCCCCACGCCCCCCCAAGAGCAGTCGCAGCTCGCAAGCCACCTGTGAGCACCCTGGACACCAACTGGGATTTGGGAACTGGGGGTCATGCCAGCTCTGACCTCGGCCCTGACCTTGGGGGATGAGGGGCGCCGTGATCTGCCTGAGGACGATGGTGTTGTCCCCCAGGTCCAGCAGCTGCCCTGCTGCTTTCCGGGGTGAGCGGAGGGTATTAATTAAGGGGTGCGACCGGCGGACACCCGATAGCACTGCCCTCCTCGGCGCACAGCGCCCGTGTCTCGGACTCAAAGGGCAGAAGTGGAAAGCCACGCAACCTGAGCCCAGGCCTGGAGCGGCCGGGCCATGCCGCCAGCACACACCGCGCAGAGCCCGCGTCTGTACATTCAGTCCCTGCAGAGACCTGACACCTGCTCCCCCGCCCGTGCCCCCAGGAAATTAACACTCGCCCAGGTACCTGGTCGTAATTAAACCGAACAAAAAGACAGCTGCTCTGCCTTTCTTTTCTAATCACCAACCTGCAGCCGGGGGATTACTAGCTTTGGGGCAATTTAGGGAGGATTACTCTTTCATTAGTGTCTGGGGGGGGCAGTTCCAACCCGATGTCATAAGAGACTCGTCACACACCCTCCCACGCCGACAGCCCACCCCTCTGTGTGTCCGAAAGGTTAACCTATAAAGCCACTGGCAACCCACTATTCGTCACACCCCAAACAGCTGAGTTTTCACCAGAAGCATCACCCAAAATGAATTCTGCCCGTGTCTCCAGGGATCTACGAGAACGTCATTCCAAACCTCCCTTCAGTCGCTGACAATGATGATGGGAGGGAACAGCACCCGGGAGGATACCCTGTCCTCCAGGCTGACAAGGTTAAAAGGCTCCTGACTTCCCCGCAGCTACCCACCCTCATGCAGCTAAGCCAGGGACACACACACGCTGGCCTAGGACCCGAGGCTGGAGAAATGAAAAGGCGCGCGCCCATCCAAAGGCACCAAAAGCAAAGACATTTTAAATATTGTGTGGGGACAAACTACATCTGCAGGCCCGTCAGCCTGCCTGCCCGTGGCCTCCCCTTTATACTTTCATTCATTCAGCAAATAACTGTGGTGCTGAGTCTCCTTTGGGTGGTGTCTGGGGGGCAGGGCAGTCAGCAACAACAGACTCAGCCCTCAGGGGACTTCCAGTCTGCCAAGGACAACACAGAGTGGGGGGGGGGGAGTTTGGGGGGGAGAGAGTGCCCCCCAAGGAAGCGAGGCTGACTCTGAAATGTGCAGGTGAGGAGGAGTAATCTGGCAGAGGGGACAGAGGCAGGTGAAACAGCACATGGGAAGACCACATGGCGAGAGAACACTACCGAAGGCAGGAATGACAGGGTGAAGATGAAAAGGGAGAAGCCAGACCACACGAGGCCCACAGCCCTGTAGGTCTAAGTATGAGACACAGCCTCATCCTAAAGGCAATGGAAGGCACGTGCAAAAGACCACGCTGTTACGATGAAGGGACTGCGGTGGAAGGTGCCGGGACAGGTGTGGAGGCAGCAGCAGACACGGCCATCACCCCAGCCAGCGACGGGCTCGCTCGGCACAGAAACGTCGTGGTCACGCCCCTGCTCTACCAGGTGAGGCTGAAGGGGCCTCCTTCCATCTTCACGAAGCTGCTCGGTTCCGGGACTCAGCGGTGTGGTGGCACCAACCTGGGTTTGCGTTCTCCTGACTCCCATGCCCTCCATCACTACAGGGTCCGCTGCTAGGCCTTCGCTGGCTGGCTTTTCTCTGCGAAAGGCTCCAACCTCTTCATCCCGACCCTGTTCAGAGGCCCAGGGGTTCCGTGAACCGTTTCCAGCTCATCACAGGGAGAGGAAAAAACACATTTTTTCTATCTCTATGAAATGATCGGTTAACAAAACGTATGGTGGTAATCGTTTTGCAGTATATGTAAGTCATTATACTGTACACCTTAAACTTACACAGGGCTACGTCAGTTAAAGCTCAGTAAAACGGAGAAAGGAAGGCATTCTGAAGAAGACTAGCGCAGGGACACTGCACACAGGATGGCGGCGATCTCTGAGACACAGGAGGCAATACCGCACAGGCGCATAAGGCAACTTCAAGGTGATGGCAACATTCTATTTCTTGATGTGGGTGGTGGTTATACCATCACTGAGCTGTACATTCTTTATTGGTTTGTATTTTATATCTTTGTGTGTTTTATTTTTCAAAAGGTTTAGAATAAGCAAAGTGTAAGCAACTGATTGAATGAATAGTTAAACCCAAATTATAATTTCTAGAAGTAGACAAAATCAGTAAGGTTAGAAGCTGAACAACACTATGAGACAATTTGACATAATTGGTATTTATAGAATACTCCACCCAACACATACACAATCTTTTCAAATACACCTGGAACACCCACCAAGATAGACTATATGCTGGGCAATAATAACACAAGGCCCAATAAATGTTAAAAGATTAAAATCATTTGGAGTATGTTCTCTGACTACAAAAGAATTAAACTATAAATCAATAATAGCTATTTGGAAAATCTCCAAGTGTTTGAAAGTTAAATACACTTACAAATAATCAATGGGTCAAAGAAGAAATCACAGGGAAATGAGAAAATATTTCAAACTGAATTAAAATGAAACACAACATATCAAAATTTGTAAAGTACAGCTAAAGCAGTGCTTAGAGGGAAATTTATAGTATTATATTAGAAAAGATGAAAGATCTAAAATCAATTATTTAAGCTCCCACCTTAAAAAGCTAGAAGAATCAGTTAAACCCAAAGTAAGTATAAGAAAATAAATAATAAAGGTAAGAAAATAAATCAATTAAATAAAAAACAGATAACCAATCATGAAATGAAAGTGGGTATTTTTTATTGTAAAACTAGAGGCCCAGCGCACGAAATCACACGAGACTCAGACCTGCCACACCGCCGTGGGACCCCAGACCCACTGCACCACAAGACCCATCAATCTCCTCCTGGTGACCGGTCATTTGGTCGTTCCAGTGTTACGGCCACTGGCCTTTTATAATGTAGATACATCACAAAAGTGCACATGTAGGACATTTCAAAAACATACAGTGCAAGGATTTATCAGAGTAAACATCTTGTAAATGTAAATTCCACTTAATAAATAGGACATGACCAGCACCCAGGATCCGCCTGCACACCGTGTCCCTTCCCAATCATTAACCTCCCCCTCCCTCCCAAAGTCTCACTATCCTAACTTTATGCAAATAACTTCTTTGCCTATCATTTTATCACCTAAGAATGCATCTTTAAAGTCTAGAATTTAATTTTATCTGTTTTTTTCATCTTCATACAATAACACAATATTACATGTTTGTTAACCATTCACGTCTTCGTTAAATACTTGTTCAAATCTTTTTAACTGAGGTTTCTTTGAAACAATCAATAAAATTCATAAACCTCAGGCGAAGAGAAGAGACACAAAGTACCAGTCTCTGCAATGAAAGACGGGACACTACAAATCCTATAGACATGCAAAGAATTTTAAAAAATTATGAACTTTATGCTAATGAATCTAACAATCCTAGTCAATGTGACTAAACAAGCTAGGGGTGCAGGAACAGCCCCAAAACACCTTACCTTTCAAACACCTTCAAAACTGTCCTTAGACCCACCCCTAAGGCCTCTGAAAGAGAGGGCCACATACCAATTCAGCTTAACAAACATCTGGAAGTGCCTACAACGTATGCTACCCACTAAGGATTCATATTAAAGGTGTGGTCTTTCCTATAGTCAATCAATCATCATTTGGTGTAGTGACTCCTGGAAATACAAACAAGAATAAGAGGCAACACTAGCTTTATTAAAGATCATAACATTATCATTTATTAAAGAAGGGGGGAAAAAGCACAACAAAAAAAGAATTGTTTTGTGATTCTTTTTTTGGGGGTGGGGGGGTAATAGCTTATACCAGCAAAATCCTTTCTCTCTGAAATGAGCGAGTAAAAAGAGCATAATCTTTATTGTATGAAATAGCTCAAGGTAGGAAAAGGAGCACACAAACATTTCTGGATATTAAAAAATTCAGTGATGCAATCAGCAACATTCAAAACTGCTGACTATACAATTACAAAAACGGAATCACGTTTTAACAAAGTGTTTTAAAAGCTCATCATATTGAACAGGCACAATGTTCTGAAGGCACAGAAATTTCCATGGGTTTCTGAACATCCTCACCCCCACCTTCACAATTTACAAACGCAGCAAAAAATATGAGTTCAGAGGGTTTTGTGTGTGTGTGTGTTTCCTTTCCTTGTTCAAAGTGGCTAAGTCAAGCAAATATACGGAAGGCAAAGTAAACATGTGTCATAGCAGAAAGGCAAGATGAACTGTAAGCTGTGATTCTCCTGTAGGACATTTCACAAACTCGAGGTTCGTCCAGACTTCCAGTCGGTAAGCCTCACTGCCTCCTGCCAGCACGGATGTCCGGCCACGGCCGCACCTGCCCAGGCTCGTCCGCATGGTCCCAGGACGCTCAGTCCGTTCACATCAGGGAGCGTTTATCTGTGACATTTTCTTGGTTTTGTTTATTAGATGTAGTGACACTAGTTTGTTATGAACGCGCACACTAGTATTGTTTATTACACCGATTTTCAACTAGTGAGCCAAAAGAATTTTAAAACATGCAATACCTGTTTAGTCCAGGCACTGACCTCTTCTCCCTTAGATCGCCAAATAAAAATGACAACAGCCAACACAACAGTCATCCAGTGGGAATGAACCAAAACTACACCTATCCTTTTTTTTTTTGTCAAATTGTCAAAAAACATGTGTTTTGGCGTGCCGCAGAATTTTAGCAGTTAGTTTGTGCCATGCGATGAAAAGGCTGAAATCGCTGATCACAATGCTATGGACCAACCTTTGGCTTCAAAGAGCCGATCCCTCCTGTCCCATGGACTCACTCTTCCCTGCTCATAGCTCGTCCGAGCTACAGGATGTTTCGTGCATTTCTGAGCCATGATCAGCTGGCCAGCTCCTGCTAGGGGGCGGTAATCGTGTTCTGTCCATGTACTCGGGCTCTGCTGCCCCCACTGGCCTCCTGGGCCTCTCCGGCCCTGGAGCGAGGAGCCTGCGGGCGCTCCGGGAGCGGTGCCGGTGCACGCCGGAGGTCACCCGGGCATCGGAGTAGAACTGGAAAGCGGCCGAAAGGGGAACTAGACACCCTGTATCTTGAGTGAACTGGGATTAAATACCTTGCACAGCACCTTCCCTCTTTACTCAAATAAAACCCTCAAGATCTCAGAATTTCATCAAGTTTTGTGTTAGAAGGTACTTTAAACACATAATTTAACCTCCCAATGTTTTAAGGACTTCCAAAAAGATCTGGACTTCTAAATCTAAATTCTTCTGTTAATGTCTTATCAAGAGACACACGGATATAAATCTGCATTTAACTTCAGAGGGAGGTCTGTTAGCTTTTTAAAAAATAACATCTGCAAAGAAACTACTGCACATCGTACATCAAAAAATACTTGGGTTTTAAAGTCAAAACTATATCAGCAATCTAGCCACGTGGCTCTATGAGCCTGCTCACTGACTTGCTGTGCAGCAGTGATCTGAGGGGACAGGGCTGGCCAGGCTGCCCCACAGAGGGGTCCCCGGCCACAGCACTGCAGCCGTTCCTAACTCATTCCACGTGGTCTCATCACTCCCGCAGCAACAGCTGTCACCTGTGGCGCTCCCCAAGCCAGACGCAGCCAGAGCAGCATGCCCACACCCCTCACACCCCTCTTTAAGGTACGCCCCACTTCTCCATTGCATTTAGAGCACACACTGCCTGGGGTGGGAGGGTCACGCGGGTAAACAGCCCACAGTCGCCCCACCAGTGACAGAAGCTCCTCGCACTGGTAAGCACCGTGACAATGCTCAGCTGGGGGCAGTTTTGCTCTTCCCAGAGACGCGGCGGCCTGCCCGGGAGAGGGGGCCGAGGAGCCAGCGGGCCTGGGCAGCGGTGGCCGGGGCACAGCCACGCCGAGGAGCCGAGACTAGAGGCAGAGGGAACCGTCTTTGAGAGGGAGACAGGAGGTGGGAGGCAGGCTCTGAGGGGCGTGGAGAGGCCAGGAGCTTGCTGGCCAGCTGCTCCCAACCTCCCAGCACAGCGGCCGCAGGGAGCAGGGCCATGGAGGAAGGGGCGGGGGTCCTGCTGCCCACAGCTGAACTGTGACCTCAGGTGAGCGCATCCCGTCTGCAGGTGTCACCTCGGTGGTTCCCTCCACTCCCAAAATGCAATCGTCTCTCCCCCCAGCAGTGAGCATGCAAGGCAGGGGAGCAGGACGACCCCGACAGCCCCGGGTCTGAAACCCCAATTCCTCACTCCCCGTCTCTGCCACCCACGAGGTTGCTGTAAACCAGCAGTTGCTTGGTAACGGTGTTCAGCAGATTTGAAATGGATGTCCTCCTCCCACAAAAACAAGTCTGAAGCAGACAAAGCACGGGCAGCAGCAGGAGAAACTTAGGCTTCTGGAAGGTCCTGGAAGGCAGGCTCACGCCCGCGCTGCCCACGTGTCCTGACTGGAGAAGTCGGAGCAAACTGGCCACAGAGTCAGGGCAAAGCAGCTTTTCTGCAAGAGCTGCGGCCCCTTCCTGGTGGGACCCGCCCAGACCGAGGCCGCTCTCCTTGAACAATGGAGATGAGACCACCACCGGCGAGTTGCTGTGGATATTAAATGACATCACGCCTGGCAACACCTACCATGCAGACATGTATTACCAGGGCACTGCTTTTAGAAAAGTTAACGGCCAGAGACACGCACCCTGTCACCTTCCACGGCCATCGGCGATTTCTGGGGTTAAATAACGTTACCTCGTTTACTGCGACCCCACCACCATGCTGGGCCCTCTCCTGCCACTACCGGTGCGGATTATTTACTCCCGTTGGTTAAACATGAGCGATCTGAGGGCCAGGGGTTAAGTGACTTGTTCAATGTGGCATGTGGCAGAGCCGCACTTACACCCAGACAGGTCTGACCTCAAAGCCCAGTTCACCACCATCTACACACCCTGGTGCATCTTAAAGGCAGTGCAGTGCCCATCAAGACCTGGACTCTCCAACCTCCCTTCCCGGCTGAAAGCGGGTGAGGGACCACAGCCTCACCAGGCCCGCTCAGACCTCCCAGCGCAAAAGGAAAGGCTGGCCGGTCTGGGTCGCAGCGGCAGAGGGTCCGGCAACAGCCCCAGCCAGGGGACCACCTCGGTGTGGAGGTGTGAGCGCGAGCCCGAGTGGGCGGCTGGAGCTGGGCAAGGACAGAAAGGCCCGGTGGAGGTCCTTCAATGCCAAGAACTCCGGCGGCCCCGACAGGACGTTCTGATGGTCAGGCGGCAACGGGCTCAAGGACACACAGAGAACAGAGAGGCCACCGGTCAGGGCGCCTCCCAAAGGGGACAGGGCCGGAGACACCACAGTGATGGAGATGGGGACCGAGAGGTCACAGGCTCGGAGGGAAGCAGGGACCCAGGCCCTGGAGCACCCCTGTGCCACCCCGGGAAACACGGGGTCCGGAGAGGGGCTGAGGCTGGGCGCCCGCTCGGGCTCGGCTCTGCCACCAGCCGCAGCTTTGGGTAGAACTGGCAACCTCTCTGACCCTCGGTTTCCTCAACTGCTCAGCGACGAGGCTTGTGAGGACCAGACAAGACCAGGGACACGCGAGCACGTGGGGGTGGACATCCGGCTGAGCTGGGCCTGCCTGCAGCCCACGGGTCGCCTTCTCCAGCGTCTCCAACGCTGGGAATGCCTGGAGGTCAGGGCCCCTGGGGCTGTCTTCCCACCCTCTCCCCCCTGGCTCCACTCCAGAACGGAAATGAATAAAGAAAAAATACAGAGAACAGCAAACACGTTCCCCTCCTGTCGGCTCTCGTCCCAAAGGAAAAGCAGTGTTTTCTCGGGGGCTTTGTTTTCGATCTAGTTCCAGGAGGTCATGAGGAAAATAAGCTAGAAAACCCAAGAGAAAAGGGTGTGCGCTGATGTTACAGACCCATCCCAGCCGGGCGGAATCTGCAAGGGCTGACGTTCAGATTCAGAAAGACCGCTGTCACCAGAGGGCTCCTTCCCTGCCCTCCCCCTTCCCCCCCACAGGCTCTGCAGGGGCACAGCGGCCAGGGTGGCTGGCAGTCACGGGGTCCCAGACCCAGAGAACAAGCATGCACACACTGTGTGGGGCCTGGGTGATGGTCCCCGAGCTGAGGGACAAGTCTATAAAGTCCCTGTGGGCCCAACGCTGTCCCTGGCCGCCGCACCCTGCGTCCCTGGCGGGGGTGGGGGTGGGGGGGTTGGGGGGAGGGGCTGCCTCACCAGCCGGCAATCCTGGCTCCCGTGGCTGCTCTCGGTGTTCGTTTATGAGAATTCGGAGAGTTCAGGAGGGTGTGAGGAAGAGTCCTCTCCGGAAGGCACATGCCCACCCCTCCTGCTGTGCTAGACACTGGGGCTGGGGACACAGCGCTGCCTCCCAGAGCATCCGTACACGTTCAGGTCGCGGGAACCCGCTGCCACAGGGGGAAAGGCAGGTTCCGTGAGCGAGAGGTTCGAAGGTATTTACAAAGTGTCTGCCAGCTTCCTTCCGCAGCGCCGCCCAAAGCCTTGCGAAACTGGCCGTCCGTTACTCCAGACACGCAGAAAAGCACTTCTTCACAGCATCCCTGGGAGGAAAAACACGGGTCAATGGGAGATGGTCACCCGGCTCCTGCCATTTCCTGGCACCCAGAGTAGCACCTTGCAGAGCAGCAAGCGCCCAGACTGTGGGGTCAGACCCCCAGGCAGGTCGCTTGCCTTGTTTGAGTTGCAAATGTCTCATCTGTGAAAAGGGGTGTCCCCACTCACTCCTGACCAGCGGTGGGAATGAGGGCGTTGAATGGAATAGGAATTTCCTAAATGACAGCCAGCGATCATGACGATCAAAGAAAAAGATAGGAAGGAGGTAGAGACCATCAGGAACCAAGGGACACACCAGGAAGGTGCACTTTCTAGCAACCAGAATCACAGAATGGAGCCGCTCGGGGGTCCTTCATTCTAAGCAAGCAGCCGATGCGCCAACAGACATCTGCCGGGAGCTCCTAGCACAGGGTACCCTAAGCCAGAGCTCACCGACTCTCCTGGAAACGCAGTGCCAGCCGGCACGGGCAGACGGCACTCAACCTACTCGGCCGCGTGGGCTCGGGCTTCCCCAGCCCGCCCGCTCCCAGCTGCACCTGTGCCCCGGCCCTGGGAGCCCGCTGCAGGGCGGTGAGGGAGTGCACTCCCATGCGCTTGAACAGCCAGATGATGCTAGAAGAACGTTTCTAAGCTCTGCTCTGCCTGTGGCCCCAGGAGGTGCTCTGGGTGAGAAAGGGCCCCTCATGGAAGCTCATCCGCACGTCACATTAGGGGTCTGGAAGGCTGGAGCCCTTCACAAAGCCACCAGCCGCCATGAACGCCAGGGCTTCTAAGTTCTTGTCCAATCACTCCCAGCGTCCACATCACCGTCGGCAACAGACCTGGGGGCGTCAGACGTAAGCCTGCTCCCCCTGCTCACACACCGTTTTTCTTTTTCTCAGCACAGCTTAGGAAACACATGTTGGTCAACAAGAGAGGAATGGAAATTAAATGGTGACATGAGAACAGAGTCAGAGGCAAAGACCACGGACGGTGCCAATGTAAGGAGGTTTGGAGCCAGAACCTTAGAACTGGAAGGGCCAACCCGCTCTAGTCGTCAATGAGCCCTGAGGCCGGAGGGTCAGCGGGCTGCTCACAGGAGCCCCGGCCCTGCTGCCTTCCCTGTACAGGCTCCTCCCTGAATCGTCCCGTGAGATGCTGCAGGAAGACGGCACGAGCTTCCCTCCCTCCACCTCTGGCTCCGGGACATGGAAGTGGTACCCACCTTTGAGAAAATCTCAAAGCTGCCAGTTAATGGTGGGCATGTGCACAGACACGACCGATCACACAGAACGTGCAGGCGGCCTGGGTCGATGCCCATCACGGCCTGTATGGGGGCGGGGGTGACCTTAGCTTACTCATCTATAAACAGGTATGTAACACCTGCCTGCTGGTCTCAAAGGGCTTAGGAAAGATAAAGGAACAAGCAATCTCTGAAAACACTCCATACTAACAGTCCCATGCACACACATCAACATCCCCAGCGACAGATGTTACATCCGCATTCAGCCCGTCTTACCTTGCGAATGGTATGTAGGAAAGGCTATACCTACAAGGAGAAACAAACACAAGATCAAATTAAATGAAGGGCGCAGACGATTACAGCGGGACAGGCTTCTGGGCTGTAAGAGCTTCTGCAGTGACTTATGGGGCCCTCGGGGTGAAGGGTGCACGTGCACACACACACACGCACGCACACACACATGCACGCACACACATACTGTGCACGTACACACGCTATACCACCGTATACTGGGGGGGGACGTGTCATCTGTGTCCAAAGGAGGAGGGCAACAGGCCCAGGTGGAGACAAGCCCTGTGACCTCAGGCTCGCGGGGTGACCCATTGACCAGCTGAGCCAGCAGGGTCGCCCCATCAGGCAGGTCCAGAAATCCCGATGGCACAGAGCCGTCCGGAGAGAATGCCAAACAAGCCCCAGACCCACTGTCCTCTCGGATTTCATAAATCCGCAACAGAACACTGCTTCCACCATTGGGAGAAATTGTCTGCTCTGCTCCAATTACTTTTGAAACAAGAAAGAACAGAAAAAAATAAAACCCATGCCCTAACCGGTTTGGCTCAGGGGATAGAGCATCGGCCTGCGGACGCAAGGGTCCCAGGTTTGATTCCGGTCAGGGGCATATTCCTCGGTTGCGGGCACATACCCAGTAGGGAGTGTGCAGGAGGCAGCTGATCGATGTTTCTCTCTCATTGATGTTTCTAACTCTCTATCCTTCTCCCTTCCTCTCTGTGAAAAATCAATAAAATATATTTTAAAAAAATAAAATAAAATAAACCCCAGTACCAACCCTCTATGAAAGCAACAATAAACAAGCTGATCC